CCATTCCTGGGGACGGTGGCCACGCTGCCATACATGGCTGGGTCTGGCCCTGGCGTGGGCAGAGAGGCCCGTCGAGCCCGGGCTGGCCACTGCCAGGCTGCTTCTCATTACCTGGGAGCACGCGGTGCTGCTGCCTTCCCAGGGGTGCTGGGGGCGGCTGCGAGGGGTGAACGGCCGTGCCAGAGCTGCCCCTGCACTCCTGGCCTCCTGCTTTGGTTCCCTGGGCTGTGCGGGGGGACATGGGGGCTTTGTTGGCTGGTGGCAGAGTCCCCTCGGCACCCAGGGGAAAGGCTTACTGGTAAATAAACGCCAAGGAGCGGGTATGAAGGATGGGTGCGTTTGAAGAGCGCAGCCCTGGCTGGGCGCAGGCTGGGACAGATGCGTGGGTCTATATACCCAAGTTTTGCTTGTGCACGTGTAACACGTAAACTTGTGTAAGTCTTTACCAGGTACCGGTGTCCCTCAAGAACACTTTGCCCTCGCCATTTGCAGTGCCGGAGTGGAAACACACTGCGGTCTGTCTGTCCCAGCAAACCCTGCCGAGGTAGGTAAATATGTTCGTTCTCATTTTACAGATGGATAAGCAGAAACAGAGAGATACCAAGTGACTTGCCCTAAAGGTTAAACACCAGGTCTGAAACATAACCCAGGACTCCCAATTGAAGAATTTGTGGGGCTGTTTCATTAAAGATATCCAGGAAATTAAACCATTTTAAGCTGACAGGGCAGGTATTGGAATTCTAAACCTCTTCTGCAATGTAGTCTTCTAAATTCACAAAACTAATTCAGTTTCACAATCCTGTCATGTAAATCACAGCCTGGCTTTGTTTTTAAGCTTCAATACAACGAACATTTTTGTCCCACTAACAGAAAATGTTTTACTCTGCTGCAGTTAGAAACTGCCCCAGTCCAAGGCAGACGGGCAGGGGCATTCTACAGCATCACTCCGTGTGCAAGCGTGCAAGGACAGAGTGTTTCATTGCCACTGGATTTTTTCTATCGCATATTTTTTCAATTTTTATTGAAGTTTTCTCCTCATTTTTTTTTCTGTTTCGTAGCCTTGTAGAAGTCCTATCCTCCCCTAAACCTAAAATAGGCTAAAGTTGCCCTCTGGAGCTCCTTGCCGCTATGGTTAGGCTCCTTCGTGCCTTGCCATGGGTGGCGTGACAATGCGCTGTGTTCCAGCCTGGGGTGACCCTGCTGCGTGGCATCAGGGATTAAGTTGGGGATGCAGTGGCGACCACTCGCCCTGTGTGGGGAGTGCAGCCATGGGCCGGGGTGGCCACTGTCACCTGTAACCATGGTCGCCTTTCAGAGGTGGCTGAAACCTGGGTGAGACCACCAGCATTCACGGTGTGGGTAATTAGGTGCAACGAACTCGTTCGTGTCCGTCCCTCTCTGCAGTGCTTGTGAGCAATAGCTAGTGGGAGTATTTTAATTTGATTGATTCTTCAAATGATAAAAATTCATTTTTGTGCCATTTCCTGTCCCTGTGGTTGGTTAAGTGGCTTTACACTCTTGGGGTGTCTGTCTTTGTGCTGGCTTGGAAGTCTTCTTGAAGAACCAAAGTTCAGAATTTGACCTCAGTGGGACCCACTTTATCACGTGT